ACTTTAATTCAAAATGAAAATCCATCAGCTTATTATGTGCATTGTTTTGCCCATCAACTTCAATTAGCACTTGTTGCATGTGCTAAGACTCACAAAGATGTTAGTGGTTTTTTCGGTAAGGTCAATATGCTTGTTAATTTCATACGGTCTTCTAACAAGAGACAAGAATTGCTTCGGGACAAACAAGTATCTCAATTTGCTAAATTGATTGAAGAGGGTGAGATAGAGACTGGTAGTGGATTAAATCAAGAATCGTCTATTGCTAGAGCGGGTGACACTCGTTGGGGTTCCCACTTTAGGACTCTCACTAGTTTGATGACTTTATATGGTGCCATTATTGAGGTACTTGAAGAAGTCGGGAAAGATACGTCATTTGAAAAATATGGTAAAACTATGCTTTTGCTAGATGTGCTTCAGTCCTTTGATTTTATTTTCATGTTATACATGATGGTTGAGATTTTAGGATTTACAAATGATTTAAGTGTAGTGCTATAAAAGTGTGATCAAGATCTTTTGAATGCTTTATCACTTGTCAAAGCCACCAAACAGGAATTGCAAGAAATGAGAAATGATGGATGGGAAGAACTTATATCTAAGGTTATGGAAATTTGCAATAAGCATGATATTGATGTGCCTGATTTGGATGCAGCGTACGTGCAAGGGAAGAAACCTAGACGACATGCTATCACTTCTAGTGTTTCTAATTTGCATCATTATAAGCATGATTGTTTATGTAGTGTTTTAGATTTGCAGTTGCATGAGCTCAATGCTAGGTTTGATGAAGAGAATACTGAACTTTTACAATGTGTTTCATGTTTGAGTCCCTCATCATCATTTGAATCTTTTGATGTGAAAAAATTATTGAGGATGGTTGAACTTTATCCAAATGATTTTGTAGATGTGCCGGAAGTGGCGGTACGACATCAGCTTCAGAATTATGTTAGAAATGTTCGATGTGATCCAAAATTTGCAAATTTAAACGGACTTTCAGATCTTTGTGTAAAACTTGTGGAAACAAAAAAATGCAACACTTTTGATATAGTTTATAAGCTTCTGAAGTTGGCTTTAGTCTTGCCAGTAGCAACTGCGAGCGTGGAACGTGTTTTTTCAGCTATGAAGTTTGTGAAGAGTCAGCTATGTAACAAAATGGGTGATCAATGGTTAAATGATCGTCTTGTAACTTTTATAGAAAGAGATGTTCTTGGAACAATTAACAATGATGTTATTTTAGCTCATTTTCAAGAAATTGATACTAGACGGTTTTCATTGTAAATACACTTCATCAAACAATATTATTTTTTATTTTCAATATATTTTAGTCGATAATTTCTTTTATGTTTAGCCACACCAATATATAAAGTCTGGATCCGCCCCTGGTAGGAAGTCCAATCTTTGTTGTAAACAAGAATATCGTTGAAGAAAACCAAGGCACTCTTGCGAAGAAGTGACCAAAATATCTCATTCATCGTTGCTTGAAATATGGAGGGATCATTAGTGAGCCCGAACGACATCACTAAAAATTCAAAATGTCCATCAATGGTGCGAAATGGTGTTTTAAAGGTACCCTTCGAACCAATAAAATTTGATGATTCTCGAAACACATTTGCACTTCCTCTGGCAACTCGTCCATAGTAGGAATCAAAAATCGATCTTTAATTGTGATCGCATTCAAGGCCTGATAATTGACACAAAAGCTCCAAGTATCATCCTTCTTTTTGACAAGTAAAACATGTGACGAAAAGGGGTTTGTGCTTGGTTTAATGATCTCATCTTAAAGCATATCATGGATTATATTGGTCATAATCTCTTTTTGGCATTGTGGATAAAGGTATGGTTTGATAATGTGGATGTGGTGGTCTTATGGTCGGTTGGGCGGTAGCCATTAAGGGTAACAAATATGGAAGCAAATTGGTCTAAAATTTTGGCTATGTCAGGTCTAGGTCTGGTTTTAAGCGCAAGCTTGATGGTGTGTTGATGGATAGGTTGGTGTGGTTAAAATATGCTAGGTTAATTATGTGGATGGTGTCGATGGATTTGGTGAAAACAAACCTATAAAATTGAGAAAATAGGGTCATAGTAGGTGTAGTTAGTGTTAAAATGGGTTGGCCCATATGAACCTGCCTGTCAAACCTGATAAATTATAAAGATTGGGCCTTAAAATTAGAGCTCATATAAGTTTAAATTAGGCAATTTCTCATTACACTGTTATATCTTGTCCAAAGCCCCTGGTAAAATGTCTAAAATATCCTCTATTTTCAGAGATACATCTTCAGAAGCACTAAATTTTATTTTATTTATAAATAAAATTCGGAGATGCACAATCAGAGTCTTTGTTCGGAGATATATCTCCGAACATAACCTGGTTCTAGAAAAAATAAAAAACAGAAACATGACAGAAAGGATGAAAATAAAAAATAAACCAACAACATCAACATTTCGTTAGATAAATTCATTACATAAATAGTTCTGAAAATAAATTCAACATTACATAACCATTTCATCGGAACGTTGCAATATAATAATTATATCCTCGACGAATTTTTGAATCTTCGCATCCACTTCAATCGAACTCTTTGATTAATAATGGAGAAAAACACTCCACATAACCTTTAAATCTTCATCAGTCTTCAGTTCAAGGTTGGTGAAATGGACCTTCCCTTTGCTATCAAACAAGAGTGACAGACACTCGAGCTTGACAACTTTGTAATTTTCTGAAAAGCGCGAGATAGTATTGTATTTGGATATTAGATCTACGAGAGATGTTTTCTCAGTAGTCCTAAACTGGAGTGACGACTTCTCGCTATTGAAATACACAAATACAGGGTGGGGATATGAGCTCATTCTCCGTTTTTAGTGTGTTGTGTAGCAAATAAAGGTTGAGACACACCCTATTTATACAAGTATTGGGTGACTTTATATGTGAGTTGGATATGTATATCCGGACTAGGCGAATTTTTTTTAGCTCAAAATAAAGATTGATGCAAGCAATGATGAATGAAATGAGAGAACTTTACCTTAAATTGTAGTTTATGATGCCTTTGAAGTGTTAAAATACAATAAATCTGGTTTTGAATCGAAAAGTTGGTTGAAAATGAATTTCTTTTTAAAGGTTTTTTGGTTATGAAGGAGTTTGAAGAGTGAAAAAGATGATCATACAAGGTGGTCATATATTCAACTTTTCACTGAAACTTTTTCGGACATATATCCTTGAAAATATCACTAAGTGGTTAAAAAAATTCTCTAAATAAAAAATGTGACTTCAGAGATGTATATGCGAATTTAGTCTTGTGTGTATTCGAAAATGCATTTCCAAACTAAATTTTATCAAAAATATTATTTGGTGCGTTCGGAGATATATCTCTGAATTCACTCAATTATATTTTTGGATTTTCGTATGTGCGTCCCATAATGGTGCAATGAAAAATTGCCTCAAATTAATAGTGATTCTCATCTCATTGTAAATCAAGTCAAAGTAGAATATCACACATGATGAAACTTTAAATAATTGCCGGAACAAACTTAAATCACTCATGAGAAAATTCAAAGAGACTAACATCAACTACAACCTCACAAGTGAAAACACTAAGGTTGGCAAGTTGTCTAAATACTGTGTTTTTGACGTCAACGTATATGGTTGTAACTATGGTTGTAACTGCCAATTCGATATGGAATAAGGATCTCAATGATTATCTCTCAAACAACCTAGTAATAAAGAATAGGCTCAAAAAGTTTAGTGAATCATCACTGATGATAAATTATACTCTTTTTGTCCTAAATTATAAGATGTTTTGGTAAATCATAAGATGTTTTGGACTTGTCCTATGTCTTAAGAAAAATAATCATTATTGTATGAGAAAGAAAAATTATATATGATATTACTCTATTGTCCTTTATTAATTACAAAGAAGAGAGAAATTAAAAGAATTAAAAAAAGAAAGAGAAATAAATAATAGAGAGTATATTGAAAAAAATATCATTAATATTGCATCGGAATTATAAAATGATTTATAATTTAAGACAAATTTTTTCTCCAAAATGTCTTAGAATTTGAGACAGAGAAAGAAAAAGAAGCCGAACATTTTATGAAAAAGATCCATTCGGGGGTTTGTGGAAATCATTGTTGAACAACCTTAGCCTCAAATAATTTGATCAGTATATGATTGGTCAACCACATTTAGATTGCAAGGAAAGTATGCAAAAATGTGAAAGGTGCCGAAGGTTCTCCAGTAAATCATATCAACCATCTAAAGTGCAACATCAAGTCGTAACATTGAAGCTTTTCAACACTTGGGGCATGTACATCATTGAGCGTTTACAACTTGAACCAGGTCAGCTAGAATTTTTAGATGTTGCCATGGACTATTTTTTTTTTAAACAGATGGAGGTTGAGCCCTTATCTACCATTAATGCGTAAAACATGTGGAAGTTCGTATGGAAGAACGTTATATGCAAACATATATATGAAAGACTTGTGATTTAAGGAAGGAAAAACGTTATGGAAAGATAACATCTATCTGATGATGAGCATATCAAACCAGTTCCATATCTGGTGAAGGAGTGTAACAATTAGAGAACCTAGTTGAAAGCATATGTCTGAGGGCTTGGAATGCCAATGTGGTAGGGTAAACGTAGGCAAACACTGCTTCAACAAAAATTATATTTCTTCCGTTTCAAAAATGATTGTCGTTTAAGTGTTTGGCACACAAATTAAGAAATACAATGATGTTGTCATAAAATATTACACTTTTACAAAACTAACCTTATTAATATGTGATGATACACAGCAAAAATAATTCAATATCCTTCAATTAGCTTGAAAAGTTTCCTAGATCTCTATAGAGGAACAGATAGATATACTTATTTAATTTCGACTAAAATGATAAACGAGATCAATCAAGTAAAAGATATGAACCAACAAGCTTTGTGCTTCACAGCATTAGCCATCCTTTTTAGATCCAACCATACATGTAGGTGCATCTAGTGCTAATTCTAAAAGCAATTCAAGTACCTGTTAAACACAAAAACATATTCACAATGAAAAAATAGCAGTTTAATTTGAGAAATATATATCAGCTAAATGTCCCCCAAAAGTGTAGAATGAATAGAAAAATCAACTGCACAAATTGATTTCTAATATTTTTTGGGTAAAGAAACTAAATTCTGGTGATAATAATTGAAAGAAACATTACATAAGAACAAATTTCATGCCATTAACACTAATACGACTGTTTAAAAGAGAATGTAAAAACAGGCTCTCACATATTCATAACTTATCCAAATAAACCTGTTTTGATAAACAACTAATTTGCAATGCAATTTATAGCACAAGCACTTATCATGATAAGTGCTTATGAATAAGATATGTTTATAGTAAAAAATAAAATTACTTTTGTATAAACTACAAGCTGTTACTGTAAAGTTATAAGCTATTTAGCATATTTAGTGTGTTGATTTTGCGGTGAAGATAATTGATTTTGATTGAATTGATTATGTAAAATTGATTCGGACTAAAAGTGTATTTGGATAAATTTCACTATGAAAATCACGTCTATACTCAAAAGTTACATACAAATCCTAAGTTCAAGTAGAATCAATTCTTAAAAGCATAATCAATTCTATTCAAGAGAAACCAAACATGTCAATCAATTCTACACAACCGAAATCAATTCTGAGTGCTACACAAGTGAAACCAAAAATGCACTTATATAAGTCCTCTCAAATAGTTTCAAAACCTAAGCTAGAAGAAAAATTGAATCTAACAAGAAAGAAACAGGAAGAAGAAATGAATACCCTGAGACAATTCACAGCAAGCGCGAAAATCAACAGAAATGTGAGAAGTGAGACGAGCTGCGGCGTCTGCGTTATACAGCGGCATCAACGACTGCGTGCAACCGAGAATTCCCAAACTCCTTCAAAAATCAAATTCAGAAATGAAAAATTGCGATAAACAGTGCAGAAGAAGGAAAAGACGGAATTGAACCAGTTGCGTTACCTAAGGACAGTGACAGGGGGGCGACGAGGGTGGAGAAGATGAGAACGGATTGAAGATGCGGAAGAGTTTTGAAGAGAGGAACGAGTTGGAATTGTTCTTGCGGCGGAGAAAATGGACCTCGAGAGAGATCCGCATCGATACGCCATTTCTTTGATTTTGGTTTGTTTCGCGCTTACTGTGAAATTGTAAGCAATTGGAAACTAGACGTTTAGACAAGACGAGCAAAGAAGAAGGTAAACCCTATTTCGGGTAGAATTAACAAGTCACCCCAATATTTTACACGGTACCCTAAGTTTTGTCACACTTACAAAACTCTCTTTGAAATGTATTGGATTTTTTTGAAATTTTCGGTAAATACCGGAAATTTCAAGAAATAATTTTAAGTTTTCCCTGTGTCATATGAATTTAAGATATTAGATATTTTAAATTTCTGATACATTTCATTTTTATAAAAAATCAAAAATTTAAAATTTCTTGTGGGTCAAAAAAATCAAAAATTTAAAATTTTGATAGTATTGAAACTTTTTTTTAAACTTTTACCTTAAATAAAATATACATTGAAAGAATGAACATTTCAAGTATAACTGAATTTTTTGGTGAATGTTTTCTATCGAAAATTTATGTAATTTCATATACGTGTGCTGACTTTTGAAAATTGACACGGAAATTTTAAAATTTTCGCTGAATTGCAATCGGTTCCGATTAATCGCAATCGAAAATTTGTAGAATGTAAAGAATTTTCAGTAAGCGATCAAAATCGACACTGAAAATTTGTTTAATGTATCAGAAATTTTGATTTTTAATTCCTTTGATCAATAGTAAAAAAATTTAACAAAACTAAAAAATTTAAAGTAAATAGTAAAAAGAATATTTTGGAAATAATAAAATTTGGAAGTGATATGTAAAATATTATGAATGGCAAGTTAATTTCTCTTAAATTGGATAAAAGTTTACATAAAGCTCATGTTAAACTATACTGGGCTACGGCCCAGACAAAAACAAATGTTATAAATAAAAGAGGATTTAACTTCTCATCCAAAACTTGTACCTCATTTTCCATAATTTCTTAATATAAAAATGCCACTTGTCAAAAAAAAACAAAATGTCCAAACTAAATTTTCAGTAAGATGTCGGAAGTATGTATGAATTTTTGGTAGTTCGTTTGAAATTTCCGATAAATTATAATTAGTTTCAGAAATTTTAAAATTGCAAAAAATATGTTTGAAAAATTTTAAAATTACTGGTAAAATTTTAAAGTTGTTGATAAAATTTCTCAGAAATTTTAAAATTATTAGTAAAATCTCTTAGATATTTTAAAACTGCTAGTAAAGATTTCAATTTTTTGAAATTTTTTTAATATATATTTAAAATTTATGATATCATCAGATAGATTTCAATTATTTTAATGGAAAGTTTGAACATGATTGTTATGATCTTTTCATACTATTTTAGGAGTGCCAAATCCACTAAATAAAAAAACAAATGTTGACCAAAATAATAATTAAGAGAACTTATTAAATGAAACTTGATTAGTCATACATAATTTTAACTTGCAAAGAAAATATTAGTTAAAAAATTGGTATTGCTAACAATAATGTCACGTAGGAGAGAAACACACGGCTGAAACGGATTCTAGAAGATGCAAATGCATTTAGTTAAGTTATGGATCTACAAAATCAACGAGTAAGGAAAGAGACACCTATGAGAATGGCATCACGCAAGCTGAATGATTTCTATGTTTAGTCGATTATTTATAGGAAATAGATTGAGAATGTGAAGATGGATGATTTGTGAGAAAACCTTATTCTCTTCTTTCTTACTCTAGAGTTCTCTCCTATACTCTTATGCATGTAACTTTTTATTTCACTTTTAATTCATACACTAGAAGTAAAATGAGTGAAGTACATTAAGGAGGAGATTATGTATGTATATTACATATATTTTGTTGCTTGTCTCTTAAATTTTACTTTTTGTTAGTTTATATTATTGAGACTCTTTTTTAATTGTACATTGAAAGACTAAGTTTTAGATTTGGATAATTCAAATTGTTTGTTTTTTTAGTATTGACTTTATGTTTTAAGTTTATTAGACGAGTTTGTGGAACAAGAATCATATTTGAGAATGGTTCAAGTCATGACACAAGTAGAATCTCAAAACATCTTTGAAAACATCAAATTTTGAGATTTTGAGTGTGTGATTGGAAACACACAACCCTAAGAGTCGAGCCAAATCAAACAGAAGAAACACATAAATTTTGTGAGTCTGTGAGTCGAATCACATGTTGTACATAATTCAAATTCTGGAACCCTGTGACTCGAATCACAACTTATACATGAGTCAAATCACATAATTATTATAAGCTTGTGCCTTGTTTGATTCAAATCATAGCTTTTCATGACTCGAATCATAACTCGCATGAGTCGAATAACAAAATACTTTTGACTCAAATCATAGAAAAATAGATTTCTCATAAAATATAGGTCTAGTTCCACATTACTTTACCACTTTACCAAGAGAGGAACACTAGGGGGTACGGCCATCTAAAAAAAAATTATTTTTTTCTCATGTTGTGAAAATACATAAATACCTTCAACTTATAATGAAAATTACCAAATTGTCGCTATATATCTATAATCTTAAGAATCCTCTCTTCTTCTATATCAACATTATATTTTTAAAAATGTTCTCAATTTCATCTATCTCTCTCTCAAATCATTGTTGCAACATCGTTCCACCATCCACACAGACTTCAATCATCGCCGCTTACCGCTCTCTACATTGTACAGCTTTTGGTGCATGTTCTTTCTTCCATTTATTTTTTTACAACCTACAGTATATGTTCCATAGGATAGAAGAACATTAGATTTTTTCTTTCATTTCACAAATTGATAATACAATCAAATTGATAATATCGGTATCATATTTATTTATTTATTTGGGGGCTTTCTTTCATTTATGTTAATTTAGAGAATATTGTGTAAGATTGAATTTATGATTTTTTGGGATTTGCTTCTCTCTTGTAAATTGTATTGTGAATTTAAATAATTTTGGGATTATGTTGTGTTGTGCTGAAATTTTAGTTGAAATTGACACTACTACGAAAAACAATTTAACAACGGTTGAAAAAAATATATAATCACGCATGCTCAAACGATGTTATGTAGAGTGTTAATGTAAATGTGTCACTTACAATCACGGTCATGGGACTATTGTAGTATACTGAAAAGCACGCACCATATCACAATGGTTAATTAAATCAATCATTGTGATATACGTAAAGGTCCCAAGTTCGATTCTCAACAGTGACATTTTGGAATTTGTATGATTCTGGTCAGCGTTCGACACAACTACGGTTACTTGTTATAATAGTTGTCAAAATTTCTGTTGTTTTTAAAAAAGTAATTCTCTGCTTTTAGAAATTTTCTCATATTTTAATCTGTATCTATTTTAACCATATCAGAAAATTAAATACAACATGTATTTTTGTTAACCATGCATAAAGAGCATAAAAAACAACCTACACTTTGCATCAAAGACCAAAAGTAATATTTACATCAAACACAAAATATGTTATTTACATCTTCATCAATATCAAAAATACATCAAACATGTCTATAAATCAAACAGTAGGACTCTTAAACACATTGTAGATAAACGTCAAACGTTTACAAATTTCTATAAAATTGTCAATGGGGAATGATCTTTCATCGTTAAACATCTACATAAAAAAGAGTAAAAAAGTGTTTAATGTGACATATATAGTAATTGAATAGTCAACTTATATATAATATAATGTAAATATTTTATGACATATATACTATATACCTTATCCCATGAATCAACAATGTTGGCATTGACAATGTTTAACATGTATTTTATGACATTATAACATAATACTGACACTCGTAACTCCCTGGTTGTTTCCTTGTCTACAAATTTAAACCATAATTACATGAATATAACCACACATGAATGTAATGTTGAAACGTTATAGTGGCAAGCAACAAAAGTTTTTGAAATATTTATCCGGGAATTTATCGTGTCCACAAAGATTGGTTATTGAATTGTCGTTCGACAAAGCATTCGTTAATGAGTTTGGAGATAAATGGTTGAAAAGAAAATGTTATCAACACAAAACAAATGTAAGCAAAATAAAAAACTAAGGAAGAACTTATCAAGCATGCATATAGTCTATTCATCACAGACTTAAATTTATCGACCAGTTACATTCAACCTAACAATACTCATCAATGTCACCACGTATCACTCACAATCTAAGTTATTTCTAACCCAAATTAAGAGACCGACTGTATCACCAAGGAAATGATCTCTCTACCTCCTCAATAACACAGAAGACAATTATGTAATCGCACTGACGATCTCTCAGCACGCCACAACCACGCAGAGGCATTAAGCTCTGATACTCAAGTAGATGTCAGCTCTAAATCTATCTCTAGAGTTTAAAAACTAACAAATAATCATCCTAGATAAGAATCTAAGCAGTATATGTCTATAATAACTCAAATCCCTAGCACATAGCAAAAATCTAAGATGATAATCCACAAAGATTTATAAAGCAAGTTTTATATAACATCATGGACGACAAATATACATAAGTTCAGAGTAAATACATGTACAAACTCAACACATAAAGAATACATAAAGAAGAAGAGAAATAAACTACAAATCTCCCAGTTTGTCAGCACCGATTGATGAGTAATCCATCCCGGATCATCCGTATGCAAGCTTCAATGTTGTTTTCTAAGCTAATCTTATTCAAAAATGAAGGTTGAAGGAGTTGGGATCAAAAATACCCAAAACCATACCCAAAAAATGTGTTTTTACACCTAAATACGCATTTCTAAATGTCCAGCATTGCCCGGTGATCGAAAAGTGTCGTCTGGCAACCAAAACAGTGTTTTTCCCATGCTACAGCTCGCCTAGTGTCGCCCAGCGACCAAAAGCGTCGCCTGGCGACAGATGATAGAAAGTTGAAAAACCAGCACATCATTCTGCATTGTCTCAGCCATAACTTTTGAACCGTAACTCCGATTCGCGTCCGGTCGAAAGCGTTGAAAAGCTTATCCAATGCTCTATCTAACAATGACTAAATATCAATGTTTGGATACCTACAAAAATGAGATAA